TATTGGTCTGGTATGATGGGGTCTGGTTTGAGTAGAATCGGCTGAGTTCGGGGCGTTTTTCCGACCCTGAGCAATTTTATTTTTCTGAAATCGCAGACGTTCGCCAACTGCTTCGCTGGGCGAGTGAGTAGCGAATCTTCGCTAGGGATTCGCTGGGCGAACTGGGTAGCGAGTGCTTATAGTAGCCACTGTCTGGCTTCGCTAGGGAGTTCGTTGAGCGAGCAAGTAACGAGCATTCGCTGATGCTTCGCCTAGCGAGTGAGCCAGCGAGCATGACAATGCTTTGTATTTCTGTGCTGTGCTGTTGAACCCTTGTTGGTCGTGATTGATTATGAGATTGATGTTGAATTAGGGAGAGTGTATGTGTGGTGTTGGAATGTAATTTCCGTGTTAATCGTTTTAATTGGATATTTCGATTGGTGTATGACATGATACATGTATGTGGTGATGTGTAGAATATATGCATATAATTATATATATATGTGGTGTATGATGATGTGATCAGATGGATCGTGGGCACCTTGTGTGTGCGTGAATTACTGTTGTGCATTAGTGTATGCATATCATGATGCATGTTTGGGCTCAGGAAGAGCATGGTAGGGATATATCGTTGCTCAGATGGAGTATATGCGATCTATCCTGAGTTTATTTGTCCGTACTCCAAAGGAGAGGGGGTGGTAGGGGTAGATCATTGCTCGGATGGAGTGTATGTGATCTATCCTGAGTTTGATTATATGGGCTCAGGAGGAGCATAGTAGGGATAGATCGTGTCTTGGATGGAGCGTAAGCGATCTATCCTGAAATTGATTATATGGGCTCAGAAGGAGCGTGGTAGGGATATATCATGTTTCGAATGGAGCGTAAGTGATCTATCCTGAGTTTGAGTCGGTACCGCATATCATTGTGTCGAGTTGCATATGTTGCATTGTTGGTGTGCTGTGTTGGCATGGGACAGTAGGTCCGGATTGATGTGTGATGAATGATGTTTATGTGTTGTCTGCCTTTTATTCATGTACATTATTACCGTTATAATTTTGATCGTGATTTCTCACCCCTTGTTGTTGTTGTGGTATGTGCTTCTTCGGAAGTACAGACAATCCAGGTGCGTAGCTAGCTTGGATTGTGGTGAGTCGATTCGTAGGGATGCTCTGATACGTAACACGAGGTTTTTGGGAGTTATTTATCTGTTTGATGATTTTGTTTATACTCCGTGTCGTATCACGTTTTGATGGATTCATTGATGATGATTTTTATATTTTGGGCAGATGGCCGAATATGATGTATGAGATGATGTGCATATATGTATATATGCTGTGACAAATTTCTTTTCCGCTGCTTATTTTGAAAATCTTTTAATGAAATTTTTTGGGAAAAGTAATATCCCACTTTTGGAAGAGAAACTATGATATTTTTAATTGGTTTATTCACATTTTATTTAACTTGGGAAGTGGGGTGTTACAACATACACTACATCACTTCCGACTCCTCCACCTTCACAACAAAAATATTCCCTCTCCCCTCAAATGACAACCAGAGCCCAACACGCTATTATCAAATCTCACAAACTCTTCAGTCTCCATACATCAAACTCAACCTCTATATCCTCTCTACCTACAATCTCATTGACGCGTTAAATGATCATAATTGGAAAATAGGCATGAAAGATGAACATGATTCTCTTATTGAAAATAAGACGTGAGACTTAGTTCATCGTCCATCTAATGCTAATGTTATTAGGATTATTTGGACTTTCAGGCATAAAAAGAAATTTGACAGATCCTTTGAGAGGTATAAAGCTCGCCTTGTAGGTAATTACATAAATAAAAAACCGGTGTTGATTGTGGTGACACATTCAACCCTGTGGTCAAATCGGATACCATTAGAACAATTCTCAATGTTTCTTTATCTAAATCATGGTGTCTTCACTAATTAGAAGTTTAAAATGCTTTCTTGCATGAGAACCTTCACGAAACCATATACATGCATCAACCTCCTAGATTTCGTAATCCTCAATTTTCTGATCATGTCTGTTTATTGAAGAAATCTCTATATGGCCTCAAACAAGCACCTCTGGTACCCATGCTTTACTGATTATGTAGTTACAATGGGTTTGTCTCACATTATTTTTTACCACTCTCTTTTTATATATCATCATGACAATGACATAGCTTATATTCTTCTGTATATGGATGACATTAATTTTGTTGCATCATTTGACACCCTTCGAGAATATATTATGGCACAATTGAATTTCAAATTCTCTATGAAGGATCTGAGACCTCTAAGTTATTTTCAAGGTATTTCCGTCACCCGACATTCTGAAGGTCTTTTTCTTTCTCAAAAGAAATATGCAAAAACAAAATTATCGAACAAACCGGTATGTTCTTCTATAAACCCTCCTCCACACCATTAGACACAAGGGCGAAACTCAGTGGTTCATCTAGTAACCCTTACCATGATCCAACTGAATATCATATCCTTGTTGGGGCATTGCAATACTTGACGTTTACTCGACCAGACATGTCATATGCAGTTCAACATATGTGTTTATTTATGTATGATCCAAATACTCAACATGTGTCTACCTTGAAATTCATTATTCGATACATTCATGGTACCATAGATTTAAACCTCCATTTGTACCCTTCATCCATCGACAAACTCATTTCTTACACAGACGCAAATTGGGTTGGTCGTCTAGATACAAGAAGATCTACCTCTGGCTACTATGTTCATCTCGGTGACAATTTGATCTCATGATCTGCAAAATACCAACATACCTTATCTTGTTCAAGTGCCGAAGCCGAATACAGAGGAGTAGCTAATGATGTGTCTGAATCATGTTGGCTACGCAACTTACTCTTAGAATTGTGTTGCCTTGCCACAAAAGCTACTCTGGTATATTATGACAACATCAACGCAGTTTATCTTTCCAACATTCCTATTTAACACCAACACACCAAACATATTGAAATGGATGTACATTTTGTGTGCGAAAAGTTTCTTGCGGTCAAGTATGCTTTCTACATATTTTCTCGCGTTTTTAGATTGTTGAAATCTTCACAAAGGGACTTTCGTTGTAACTCTTTGATGACTTTCATGATAGTCTCAACATTAGTTCACCTCCACTTTCAACTACAAGGGTGTATTAGATATGTAAATATAGAAATATTATTAGTAGTATTGATCGCAAATGATTAATAGAATCATGACCACATATTTGTATTATGTATATTCATGATTATCAAATCAATAAAAAGATACAACCTAAATTGTCTTACACGTACATTGAGAGACCAATGTTGTGGATGAAGTTGCTTGGAGGGGCAGTTAGTCAAGATGACTACTTTATCAAATGGTTGTCCTTGAAGAGAACTTCCAAGGTTATTGAGCTAATGCATGTTCTACCACAACTAGTGGATCCTTAAAGTCAACTTCTTCTACTTCGATCTTACATGGGTATTTCCAAATTGTTTTGTTTACCTAACAACATGTCAACCTAAGAACGTTTCAACCTAATCATATGGAGGAAGAGACTATTTGGTTTGATAAAGAATTGCGAAAGGTGGTTGAAGACATCATGCTTGGTGGAGGTCTTTTCTTCGGGGACCTTCAATGAAGTGTGGTTTCTTTACCCATTAGTGTTGGGGGATTGGGTTTGTACTCAGCAAGTCTCATACGCTTTTGTGGCCTTTAGGGTCCAATCTTGAGTGTTATAGGATCATATATTGAAAGACAGTGGGGTACATGGTATGGACTCGGATTTCGACAGAGTTTAGGATATGTCTTAGGGTTCTGATTCTAGATTTTGGCCTTAACATTTTTACTAGCAAGGAAACCCTCCCTCCTAAAGAGCAACATATTTTGGCAATTGTGCCTTTTAGTAAAATTGTTAAGGACATGGATGTAGAGTTTGACATGACAATAAAACGGAAAGCAATTTTTGGTTGTTTCCAAACCGCACATGCTTAAGAATTTCTTTTTGTTATTCTTATTGATGGGTTAGAGGCCAACACATGTCATCGGTGGAGTACCGTACTATCATAAGATACTGCCTTATGATTCCTTTATTTCATATTGATGAGGGTTGTCCTATTTTTCGTAAGGCGTGTTCGGATAAAGAGGCACCCGTGATTTGTAGGCTTCAAATACCGACTTGACTTTGTTATCCATGTTTGATATATTTCGGAGGGCCAGAGTATCTATGAAGAAAGTGGCACCTGCGAATTTCTTGACTGATCCACATTAGAGGAGATTGACACTTAGCCCAGCAGATGTTCTGGTGTATGGTTGAGGTAGGAGGAAAACATGTTTGTGTGGACTTGATTGAAGTTTTTTTATTGATAGGACTAATGACTAGAGATTTTATTTCGGGACAAGAAGCTCTCAAAGTTACTTTAAGTAAAGTGGTCAAACAAGAGTAAGCGTGTTCCAACAATCAACATACTTTCATACCATTTGTTTTTGATATTTTTGGTTTCTTTAACACTAATAGTGGTAGAATCCAAAAACTTGTGAATAATAATCTTGTATCTCACAAATTTATGAATATAACTTTTAAAAAGTTTGATTTTACTATTAAAAAAAATACCAATGCGCTTATTACCCGTTTACCTTATATTCCTATGTAAACTTAATTTGTTAAGTTTTACCTTGTATTGTATAAACTTTATTATATTGAAATAGAATGTCTAGTAAATATGTCCTTTTGCCCACGAGGTTGTTACCATTTTATTTGGGAAATTCTTAAATATTATAATTTAATCAACAAATTCGTAATTAAAAAATAGTGATAGTATTAGTAACAATAATTTTTATTTTAGTTTAGAATGGAATATGCAAATTTATGGATGTTTGAGGCTAAGGTTGAGGCGTTAATTTTGGACCAAGCAAAAGAAAGAGGTGTTGAAAGAAGAAAACGTGGCAAAAACGTTGCCTATGCTGATGTTACTATGTTAGTTGTAGTTGGAAGGCCCTTGGAATGAATATCATATCATTTCATGGCTTCTTTGCTCCATCCAACTCCAACTGCAATCTGTTTCTTCTATCCCTTAAAACCCACCATTCCACCACACAGTTTTTCTTTATTAACTAACACTAACACTAACCGTTTCAACACAAAGTGTAATGCATTTTTTGACAATGTCGCCAATGTTGTTGATGTGGACCATTTTCCTTCTATCATCCAATCAGGAATACTGCAGTTTCAAGAATTACCGGATATGCAAAGATGGGAGTTTCTTGTGTTTGGTGGTCTCATATGGATTTACTTAACTTCAAGACCTGGTGTTCTTATTGGTGCCATTGATGCTTACCTTCTTGCTCCCCTTCAACTTGCTTTTGACAATCTATCTGGAAAGAGAAACTTGAAGACACGTGATTTTCTTGTTGGAGATAAAATTGGTGAAGGGTCCTTTGGTGTTGTTTATTCTGGTGTTTTGGTTCCAAAGAATGTGGTCGATGGAGAGGTGAACAACAAGGGAAGATCCAAGGCTGCACTCTATGATCCCAAAGCCAAAGATAAAGTCATTCTTAAAAAGGTAATTGTTAAGCTTTCTTCATTGATATCAAACATGAGAATACACATAATCTTACAAGTCTATATGTGAATTCTTCAAGTCCAACGGCTTATTGCATTAAAAGTCTATATGTAATTATATTCAGTTAACCAGTCAGTTTTGTAATTGGTTTTAGTGTATGTGTCAATGCTTTAGAGGTTAGATATAAAACCATCCACGAGCCTTTACATGTTTTGTGTTCTTCCTCTATTATAAAATATGAGAATATATATTTCTGTGACTAATTGAATATACAGGTTAAGGTTGAAATTCGAGGGGCTGAAGAATTTGGTGAATTCGAGGAATGGTTTAATTACAGGCTATCTAGAGCAGCACCAGAAACATGTGCTGAGTTCCTTGGAAGTTTTGTTGCTGATAAAACAAACTCTAAGTTCACAAAAGGAGGAAAATGGCTTGTTTGGAAATTTGAGGTGCCATGCTTCATATTACTATTGTATTAACAATAATACCCTTAGAATTAGGTGGTTGTCTTGATTAGTCATCTTAGTCTCGTTTGTTCCTTCATTTAACATACATTAATTGGAGAGGTGTTTTATGTATCACAGGGAGATCTTACTCTTGCCGATTACATGAAGGGGCGCAGCTTCCCTTCAAACTTAGAATCTGTCATGTTTGGACGTGTCTTGCAAGGTGTAGACTCTTTTCGACGAAATGCATTGATCATCAAGCAAATCATGCGCCAGATAATTACTTCTCTTAAGAAAATTCACGATACAGGCATTGTTCATAGAGATATAAAGCCAGCCAACTTAGTCGTCACTAAACGGGGACAGATTAAACTTATTGATTTTGGTGCAGCAACAGACCTTCGGATCGGAAAGAATTATGTTCCCGACCGCACCCTTTTGGATCCTGATTATTGTCCCCCAGAACTATATGTACTCCCAGAAGAAACACCAAGTCCTCCACCAGCGCCAATTGCTGCTTTCTTTTCACCAATCCTATGGCAGGTTGGATTACTTATCTTGTAGTCAAAGTTAAGATACTGACTGAATTAACCATTCTATACATAAAGTTGAGTTATGTGATTATTATTGTTGCAGTTAAACAGCCCTGATCTGTTTGATATGTACTCTGCTGGGATTGTACTCCTGCAAATGGCAATACCAACTTTAAGGTCTCCTGCTGCTTTGAAGAATTTCAATTTGGAAATCAAAAACTGTGGTTATGATTTGAAAAAATGGAGGGACTATACTCGCCTGAGGCCCGACTTCCAAATTCTTGATAGTGAATCTGGTAGAGGGTGGGACTTGGCAACAAAGCTTATCTCCGAGAGAGGTCCCTTGAGAAGAGGACGTTTATCTGCTGCTTCAGCTTTGAGACATCCTTATTTTCTTCTAGGAGGTGATCAGGCAGCTGCAGTTCTTTCAAAATTAAGCCTAAGTAGAAAGTGACCGGCATGCAGATGTGAGTATATCAGATTTATAGTTTAAAACCATTGGCTGGTGATTGAGAGCGTGTCTGGTGTTTGACAAGTGTCGTCCGACACCAATGTGATTCCATCTAAAAAAAATTAATTTTGAGGAAGTTTTTTGCTGCCATATAGATTTATATTTTCAGAGGGGCAACTCAAACAATAGCAAGAGCACTTGTGGTTATAAGCCTTAATCAACCTTCCCTCATAGTGTCTTTCTGCAAGTTAAACTATCTTCTTTTTTCAACGTTTTTCTTTTTTTGTGTTTTATGTGTATTGATTTTGGATTATTATGAAATCAACATGAACAAGAACAACTATAGAGATAGAAAGCATCATAGTTTATAGGAGATTCAATAATTATATATATTTTGCCATAATAATAACTTGGTTTAGGATAACCTTTGAACAAGGATTAGACTCTTTATAATGTGGGTGCCACAGAAAGAGTAATATACAACTGTAGGAGCTGTGGAAGATCTCACTCTTCAAAATTTCACCTAGATTTTGTGTGAGACAGAATTTGATCAAACTCTTTGATTGGAATCTAAGCGACACGTAACATTAAGGATTGAACCAATTGCACCATTCTCATAAGCCAAACTACCACTCCCTATTCTTCGACAACCGCTCACCTTGTTTTGTCTATACAATCACAAGTTTTAGGGGATCCATATTCTCATGAGCAAGCTTGAGCATTATGAAAATCTATTGGAAATTTTGTGCTATTTGAGGGGACAATTAATATTAATTGACTTACAAACCAAAAAATTTCCATTTCTAAGAATGAGCTTGTCAATGAATATGGTAGTTGAAGCAACACTAAACACTCAAACTGCTACACTTGAAACATTCCTGCAGATTGCACTGTCAGTATTCCTTTTCCCTGACATGAAAGGAACCAATGGCAACGGGATCTTGTAAACATTCTAATGCGATTAAGATCCCAACTAATATTGTGATGTGCCAACTCCACCAACAATGGCATCATCAAATGCAACAAAAATATTCTTGTCATTACAATTACCATCTTTTCCGCCTAGTTTATATACAACAATTCTTGAAGAAGGAACTCCACCTCTTGCAAGATTTCAAAATGATTAGATATATAAATATTGTCAATCTTGTAATCATATTGCATTTTCTTCCTTCAATATGAACAATAATATTTCTGGATGTTCTAAGATAATTATGACCAACACAACGCCATTTATAAATATGGGTGTAACTGCACTTTATGTCACAGCATACAAAGTAAAGACACTATTGGCATCATTTTCTTACAAAACAAATATCATGATTTTATAAGCTGCTGTTGCATCATTTTCAAACTGTTGTTAAAGCTCATCCTCTTGATAGAGTACTTTTTGCAACACTTTTTTCTTGTTACAACCCCAATGACATCTCTCAGAGCAGAGAGAGTTGAATAGAGCAAGCCTTGTGGATTGAAGAGATATCATGCTTGAAGTTGAAGGAGCTTTTGAGAGAACAATTGCATAACCGTCGTCCATGTAATCCGTTCCATCTGGAAAGAACTGCCACAAAAGGCTTCCAGCACCACTACCTCCTTTCTTTGTTGAGTTTAGAATTGTCTTGTAAACTGTATTTATAAGTGTATCTCTATATGTTGAATTATAACCTGGATCTTTTGCAGATACACCAAACTCACCAAAAACAACTGGCATTCCAAGATACTTTTCAGCATCGTCTATGTGAGATTCCATCCATGACTTCACAAATGGGATATGGCTATCACCAACTGATTGTGAAATCCTTCAATCAGGCCATTCATTCATTCTTAGTTAGTTAGAAAAATGTTGAATGTTTGATAGAAGTTCTGTTCTATGATGATAACTTACCAAGAGTCTGGATATATGTGAACAGAAGCGAAATCGACACCTAGAACCTGGTGGTTTCTTATAAAATCAGTTCCAACCTGTTGAGCAAATGAATTTGGGTTGAACTGAAATCTCTGAGGCGTTGAGGGTCCATAAAATCCTTCGAGGCCAATCTCTACTAGGTGTTTTGGATCAACACTTTTCACATAGAATGCCATCTCTTGTATCCATTCCTAGAGAATTTATAATTCAATCGTGTTCGAAAATTAATATCATGGAAAAAACTGATTAGTTGAATTGAATGTAGTGTTTGTTATTGTGTTTCAGTTTCAGTTTGAAAGAATTCAAATCTTCAAACTGAAAACCAAACACAGATATGATATTGTAAATTGCTTTTAATACGACATAACCTTCTCTCTGTTTTTATGAGAAGCATCTACCTGTAACTTATCACCTGAGGAATCAGAGGTGCATCGAGGTTCGTTCATTAATTCCCAAGCAAAAATAGTTGGATCTTCCTTATAAGTGATATTTGTGAATGTGTTAACTCTATTGAGCACTGTCTACGTAGCGACAAAAAGTATAGGATCCAAATTAGTATAAAGTAATCAAAAAGAAAAACAAGAAGCGATGAGAATTAGGAAGTTACCTTAACATGGTCTTTGTAGTAGCCTATGAGAGTGGGATGTGAAAAAAAGTCATCCTCAGATGTCAAGTTAAGGCCAGCAGCATTACCCCACTTGACATATTGTGCTTTTCCACCATATGAGTCCCAATTGTTAACCAATGATAATATGAGCCTGATTCTGTATTTCTTTGCTTCACTCACTACAAAATCCAGGGCCTTGAACACTTCTTCATCATAAAGTGATGGAGATTTCTGAAGGGCTCTCCACTGGCCATCATTGAAGGCCCAAGTCCTACAAACTGACATACCAACTGAGGATGCATGTTTGAACACATCACTGACCTTTCCTCTTGTAGACTCATCCGCGGCAAATACCATCATCCAATAAGTGTTGAATCCGTTTACATAAAAAGGTCGCCCGTTCACTACAAACTGGTTTCCTTTCTTTTGCACCATCTGCCATTCAGCTTCCTCCATTTCATTCCTTAAACCAAAAATCATATTAATTAGAATTAAGAACCTGAGAGAGGGGGAACTTTCTAATAGCAATACATACCCATAAGTTAAGATGGTGTTTGGTATATTAACATAGCTTTCCCAATCTTCATATTCAGTGTCATGAAATGCAGTTGAACTTAAGGTTTGAGTAAGCGTAGTGAGAAAAATGAGAAAGGAAATAACACATAGTCGGAATCCGTTGAGTGCTTCCATATGTGTATGCATGTATTGGACCACACTGTCATTATATATATTTGTGATCAAAAACACAAGAGTAGTGTGCAAGTTGATATCAAGTTTAACTCTAACTTTGAAGGGAAGAAAAGAATATATATGCATTCTGTTGTGTTCAAAGGATATATATGAAATCAAAACAACAGTAGGAGTAAAGCAGCAAATTCCTAAGGTTCAAGTGGGTTCCACAAACAACTCAATAAGACTTTTGTTTCATAACAATGAAATATATTTTACATACTAATTAAATCTAAGATGTTCGCAGTTCAGTTTAGACAGGTTTCGAAGCACAATATCATCTAATTCAAAAATAAATTTACTTGTGGTTCAGTTCGATTTTGAATGATTGGTTAAAAAATTCGATCCAAACGATCCAATTTCATGCAATTTAATTTGTACGATATTTTGAACATCCAATTTATTCTCTATAATTTTTATTAATATTCTAAAAATATTAATAAATAATAAGTTTGATATAATATATAATATATTATATTAAGAAGTTAATATTATAAAATAATAATGATAAAAACTAATAGATTAAATTAAACTAATAAATAATATTTAAAAAGTAAGTATTATTCAATATTAAATGAATACAATATATCATACTAAAAAAAAATAAGTATAAAAAATAGGCTTAATACCCTTTTTGGTCCACTACCTATGTCTCGGGATCCATTTTAGTCCTCTTCCTTTTAAAAGTTTTAAGTTGATCTCTTAAATTGTCTAACAGAATCAAACTGGTCCTTTTTGTCAAAAACTGGCTAACGACGTTAATTTAGATGACGTGGAAGCTGAGGTGGATTTGTGGAATGTTTATTCATCATCTTCTTCTTCCTTATTGCTAAAACACTTTTCTATTTTTCCCCAAATTCAACCCTAACGCAAAATGCTTTCCAAAATCCCCTAATTGAAACCTAAATCATCATCTAATCATGAGTTTTATGCGCGGTTTGTCATCATCATCATCTAGAAACCGATGTGATTCACAAGTCTTTAGTAACTCTAATCTTCCATGGAAGCCTCTATGTCGTTGTGGAGACAATGCTATACTTCGTAAGGCAAGAACTGTCAACAATTATGGAAATCTTTTTTGGGGTTGTCAACATTTTAAGGTAAGGTTTAGTTTGAATAAGAATGTTATTGAATGTATATGTAATTCATTGCAATTTGCATTCTCAATCTCTACAAGAATATAACAATGTTGGTTGTGGATTTTTTGAATGGTTCTATGAAGAAGCTAGAGGTGAAAATGAGCAAACCCTGGTGAAGAATCAATGGAAGATAGATGTGTTTAGTCAAGAGATGGAAGAAGGCAAAAAAGAGGTTGAAGTTTTGAGGCTCAATAATATGGAATTAGAGGATGCTTTGAAGAACACCATCAAGTGGAAGAAGATTTGAAAGTTTATGTTCTATGTTGTTTTATTTGTTTTAGTAATCAAATTATTGTAAAAGAATTTAAATTGTTGTGAGAGGTTGAAGTATTTTGTTCTTTGTTTTAGTGTTTAAGTTATAGTAAAACTTGCATTATTCAAAGTTGCCAAGTTAGTTATATTCTTTTGTTACATGATTTAGTTGGACAAGTTAAAATTGCATTGTAATAGAATCTGTGTTATGTTGTTATATGATTTAGTTAGACAAGTTAAATAACTGAAATTTGGTATAACAAAAATTTGATCAACATAAACCTTGTTCAAATTTGAGAAACATAAACCTAGTTCAAATGGAACATAACATAAACCTTGTTCAAAATACCATAATATAATTTGTTACAGACAC